CCAAAGTCATATTGAAATATTTTGACAGATTTTTGAGCGCCGTGAACCACATAAAATCGGATCGAGGTCAATAACCACAACCAGAAAGGGCTTTAATTTTGCCTTACAATCCGAAAAATACGATAACTGTATTTTTAACTACTTATTTAGAATGAATTATTATCTTTTTTATTTTTTACTCTTTGTTATTATATTATATTGTGATGAGAGAGCAACTGTGTCCAAATAATTCCCCTTGTGGATCAATAAAGTTTGTCTAAGTCTAAAGTGTACATTCTAAACAAAACAAGAACACCGGGAAAAGTTCCGCGATGCATCTTTTTAATTCAGCTCTTAGATCCACTCGCGTCACTGAAAAACAAAGCACCGCAATTGTTTTGAGAATGAAGCGTAATTAACAACACTGTACTTCCCCGTGTCACCTGAACGCGTCGTCTCCGGTCGCTTCCACGGCGGCCTCTCGCTCGTACAGGTTGCCGTTAACGACAATCACAGTGGGCACCGCGAATGAGGCGTCTAATCAGCGCGGCTAATGCAGGGCTAATGAAACACCTTCGGAAACGCTGAGTGTGTGCTCCGCCGCTCCGCCGCGCCGCCATGTTTGCGCCTCTCGTCCGATAGAGATAAAAACAGGCTAATAACATCAGGCTAATCAGACTTAAACAGGATTTAAAGATATTGAAAAAGGGATTATTTTGAAAGACGGGGGTTTGGAGTTTCTCGAGGCGGTGCCGTTGTTGCCGGGAGAAAGAAAAGAAGAAATTACCTGAGATTACCTCATAACAATGGAAATAATGGAGAGACAATTTGTAGAGTTATAAATAAACACGACGGTTCTGTTTGTGTTTGTCCAAATGTGTTTCTAGTGTTTCTATGAACACAGTGCTCGTATAGACATTCTGACTGAACCAGGTCTGGACCAGGTCTAAATCAAATCTAAACCAGGTCTAAACCAGGACTGAACCAGGTCTAAATCAAATCTAAACCAGGACTGAACCAGGTCTGAACCAGGTCTAAACAAGGTCTAAACCAGGATTAAACTAGGTCTAAACCAGGACTGAACCCGGACTAAATCAGGTCTAAACCAGTAATGAACCAGGACTGGACTGGGTCTAAACTAGGTCTAAACCAGGTCTAAACCAGGACTGAGCCAGGACTGAACCAGCACTGAACCAGGTCTAAATCAGGTCTAAACTAGGACTGAACCAGGTCTAAACCAGTAATGAACCAGGACTGGACTGGGTCTAAACTAAGTCTAAACAAGATCTAAACCAGGTCTAAACCCAAACTGAACCAGCTCTAAACCAGGTCTAAACCAGGTCTAAACCAGGACTGAACCAGGTCTGAACCAGGTCTAAATCAGGTCTAAACTAGGACTGAACCAGGTCTAAACCAGTAATGAACCAGGACTGGACTGGGTCTAAACTAAGTCTAAACAAGATCTAAACCAGGTCTAAACCCAAACTGAATCAGGTCTAAACCAGGTCTAAACCAGGACTGAGCCAGGACGGAATCAGGACTAAACCAGGTCTAAACCAGGTCTAAACCCAAACTGAACCAGCTCTAAACCAGGTCTAAACCAGGACTGAACCAGGTCTGAACCAGGTCTAAACTAGAACTGAACCAGGTCTAAACCAGTAATGAACCAGGACTGAACTGGGTCTAAACTAGGTCTAAACCAGGTCTAAACTGGTACTGAACCGTGACTGAACCTGGACTGAACCAGGTCTAAATCAGGTCTAAACCAGGACTGAACCAGGTCTAAACCAGGTCTAAACCAGGTCTAAACAATTATAATGATAACAGTTATTATTATGAGTAATGGTTCAGTTTGGGAACAAAATGCAGAATCATTTACTTGTTCTTTATTTGTGTTTTTATTAAGAAAACAATTTGTTTTAACATTATACAAACAGAAAAATAAATAAATAAATGCAAAGTGCTGCTTGGTAATACTAATAAATTAAATCAAATATTCTCAAAATATTATAAAAAAATAATAATTCATTGTAAACAGTAAACAAAACTTTTCAAAGTAAAGTAATTAAAGAGCAGCACTAACAGCTCTGTGGTCCAGTGAGGTGCATTTGGTTTTCCGAATTTTTTTGTTATTAGGTTCTTTTTTCAGACTTTGTTTTCATACCTGACAGTAAGACAGTAAAAAAAAAAGAACCTAATAACATATACGAACAGTTCCAGCATGAAGTTTTACTCAATTTTCATAGTTTTGACCAGAAAAAAACAATTTGGGTGAAGCTGAGATTTCGTGCTGTTGAAAGGCGAGAGTGAGGCGACGACCGTAGTTTTACGAGGATTCACGTGGTTCGGAGGGACGTAGTCAAGGCAGTAGGGGGCAATTGTCGTCAAGGTGACCGCCCTAACTATAAAGCGCTGTGGGAAACACTGACACCCCGATCACGGACGAGTTCTCTGGTGAATATTAAAGGTTGTATAGAGGATTTTCCAAGGAACGAGAAATCCAGCGACTGTTTGTCCTTTTTCAAATGTTGCGCATGCGTGAAACCACCCCCCCTCCCCTACAGCTCCTACGTAGAAACGCCTCCTCCCGCCTCCTCTTTACGCCAGAAACAGGTTTGTTTACAGCCGGTGCGCTGCACATAACTTGTAAACAACTAACTACAGTGTTGGTTAGGCAAGACGGAGAAGTGAGGAGCAGGGAGAAGAGAGAGGAGAGAGGAGAGGGGAGAGGGGAGCGGAGATTCCGTGCCCAGGAAATGAGGAGCAGGGGGAAGAGCGGAACGGGCAGCGGGGAGAGGAGCAGGAAAGGGGTGCAGAGAAGAGTGCGCGGAGATTCAGTGCGAATGAACTAGCTACAACACGCAGCAGCAAGCGGACTCTTTCTTTGCCTTGAAAATTACGTTTTCAGACATAGGATATCGCTTTCGTGTCCTGAAAAACGTTTGTCTAGCTCTTGGAAATAAAGTACGTTTTCATAATAAGCAGAAGTTTCCTGTCCAGGAGTAATTTGTGGACCAGTGCGTCAGTCTTTAGACCCTGCGTCTGCTTCAGTTGCGCCATCGCTGGAATGAATCTTCAAGAATCACCTTAGTTTGGCTTCGCTGCTTTTCCCCTTGTCTTCTTCTTTCAGCGACCTCAAAAACGGACTTTCTTTTGAAGCTAACTGCTCCTGGATTCTTGTCGCCATTGCAACAAACTTTGTGCGAACTGCGAGGAAGATATAGGTCAAAAAAAGCCGCTAAGAACTGTTGCGTTGGTGGAGTAAACAGCGTCTTGCGTCTGTGGACTGCGTGACAGACGTACGTAAACCACGTACCGGCGGCGCGCAGGCAAGTCAGTTACGCTAGAAACGTAGGGAGTTTGATTGACAGCCTGTCAGCTCACAGATAACGAGGCAGTGTCGTTATCTATTGGCAAATGTTTAGCCCCACCACGTCCAGAGTTGATTAATTTTTATTCTCTTTTTTTTGGTCATCATAATTACAAGGCTACTGCACCTCTATAATGCTATCATTGACAATTTGAAACAAAAAAAAATCCTCCATACAACCTTTAAAGAGTTGAGCCTTTCGTGAAGCTGCACATGTTGTGGTGGAATGTAAACACACATAAATTGCGCAAATTCACTCCGAACCAAACGTCCTGTACCGAAACTGTTCAGCACAAATACCTGTACCGTTACACCCCTAATATTAACAATAAAATTTAGTTTTTAGTATCCATCCATAAAAACTATACAAAATACGACCAATACCAAAAGCTTGAATGTCTTATGTTTACATATAATAAATATAATAAATGTGTCTTGTGATGGTGCTGTGTGTGTCGTGCATCAGTCCGTCTCATGATCTGAGCTTGACTAAAGGCTCCAGATTAAAGTTCACCTCCAAATAGAAAACAGACAAATAAATAAAAAGAAAAGTGTGAGTGAAAAAAGGTGATTCTCTCTGATTTGACACAGTCTGTAGTAATCACTTAAGCACAAACAGCACCTCTCCTCTCCACTCGCTCCTCTCGCATTTTCTCTTTGCTCTTCTCCTCCTCTCCCCTCTTCTTCTCCTCCTCCTCTTCACTCTTCTTCTCTTTTTGTCTTTTTCTCTGCCCTCTTCTATTTCTCTCTCTCTCTCCTCCTTTGACCACTCCCCTCTGCTCCACTCTCTTCCCTCTCCACTCCTAACTCCTGCCTTCTCAACCCTCTTCGCTTCCTCTCCTCCAGTCTTCTCTCTTCCTCTCCTCCTCTCTCTTTCTGCTCCAGTCTTCTCTCCTCTCTCTCTCTCTCTCCTGAAGTCTTATCTCTCTTCCTCTGCTCCCCTCTTCTCCTCTTCCTCTCTCTTTCTCCTTCAGTCTTCTCTCTCCTCCTCCAGTCTTCTTTCTCCTCCTCTCTCGCTCTGTTTCAATCTTCTCTCTCCTCCTCTCTCTGTTCGTCTTCTCTCTCTTCTCCATTCTCTGCTCCAGTCTTTTCTTCTCTCTCCTTCTCTCTCTGCTCCAGTCTTTTCTTCTCTCTCCTTCTCTCTCTGTTCCAGTCTTCTCTTCTCTCTCTCCTCCTCTCACTGTTCCAGTCTTTTCTTCTCTCTTCTCCTCTCTCTGCTCCAGTCTTTCCTTCTCTCTCCTCCTCTCTCTGTTCCAGTCTTCTCTTCTCTCTCCGCTTCTCTCTGTTCCAGTCTTCTCTTCTCTCTCCGCTTCTCTCTGTTCCAGTCTTCTCTCTCCGCTTCTCTCTGTTCCAGTCTTCTCTTCTCTCTCCTCTTCTCTCTGTTCCAGTCTTCTCTTCTCTCTCCTCTTCTCTCTGCTCCAGTGTTTTCTTCTCTCTCCTCTTCTCTGCTCCAGTGTTTTCTTCTCTCTCCTCTTCTCTCTGCTCCAGTCTTCTCTTCTCTCTCCTCTTCTCTCTGCTCCAGTCTTCTCTCTCCTCCTCTCTCTGCTCCAGTCTTCTCTCTCCTCCTCTCTCTGCTCCAGTCTTCTCTCTCTCTCTTCTCCTCTCTCTGCTCCAGTCTTTCCTTCTCTCTCCTCCTCTCTCTGCTCCAGTCTTCTCTCTCTCTCTTCTTCTCCTCTCTCTGCTCCAGTCTTTCCTTCTCTCTCCTCCTCTCTCTGCTCCAGTCTTTCCTTCTCTCTCCTCCTCTCTCTGCTCCAGTCTTCTCTTCTCTCTCTCCTCTTCTCTCTCCTCTTCTCTCTGCTCCAGTCTTCTCTCTCCTCCTCTCTCTGCTCCAGTCTTCTCTCTCCTCTTCTCTCTGCTCTAGTCTTCTTTCTCCTCCTCTCTCCTCTCCTCCAGTCTTCTCTCTCTCCATCTGTTTCAATCTTTTCTCTCCTCCTCTCTCTTTTCTCTCCTCCTCTCTCTTTTCTCTCCTCCTCTCTCCTCCTCTCCTCTTTCCCTCTCTCCTCCAGTTTTCTCTCTCTCCCCTCCTTTCTGCTCCAGTTTTCTCTCTCTCCTCCTCTCTCTCTCTGTTTAAATCTTTTCTCTTCTGCTCTCTCTCCTTCTCTCTCTCTCTGTTCCAGTCTTCTCTCTCTTCTCTCTCTCTCTCTCACTGCTCCAGTCTCTCTCTTCCTCTCCTCGCTCTCTCTCTTTCAAGCCTCTCTCTCCTCCTCTCTCCTCCAGTTTTCTCTCTCCTCCTCTTTCTCTCTGCTCCTCTTCATCCCCGTTTGATTCGCTCACCCTCCCTCTTCCTCTCCACTTTTACTTCTCCATCCTCCATACTTCTTCCTTCTCTCTCTTTCCTCTCCTCCTCAGGTGTCGGCGAGCTGAGGCCGTGTTCGTTTTTTTTCCGCGGCAGAGTCCGAGGGCCGTGTGGTCAGACTCTGGCACAGGTCTGCTCCAAGAGAAAAAAAAAGAAGAAAAAAAAGAAGAAAAGAAGTAGAGAGGAAGAGCACATTAAACATACAGGAGAGAGGGGCTTATGGGCAACTAAACTGAAAAAAAAAAGAAGAAAAAAAAAGAGAGAAAGGAAATAAAACATGATCCAGATTGATTAAAGGTGAACAGTCTAACTTGTGTTCAATGTTTCACAGTGCGGCATTAAACACACTGCATTTATTTAATTACAGCTGTTTTTTGTCGCCGTAACATCTCCACGGAAACGTTAGGTTCCGTAAAGGTTCCGTAGTGCAGCTTTAAAACGACTTGAATCTTCATCTTGATTATAAAGTAAGTAGTCGATGTGCCTGGATTATTATTCACTTTTTTTTTTTTTTTTTAAATACAGGACGTTTCATTTCCAGACAAATTATTTGCCAGTGGGTTGGTACAATTTTATTTAAAACTTTGGCAAAGTGAAATTATCTCGAAAAAGTTAAAATTTCATCTAAGTAATTCTGAACTTCCCTCAGGATCAACACAGTATCTCTCTCCTCTCTCTCTCCTCTCTCTCTCTCTCTGTCTCTTCTTTTCCCCCTCAGTCTCTCTCTCTCCTTCTTTCCGTCTCTCTCTCCTTTCTACCTTTGCCTGTCTCTCTCTCATCCCTCTCTCTATCTGTATCTATCTATCTCTGGCTCTCCTTCTCCCTCTCCATCTGTCTGTCTCTCTCCTCCTTTCTGTCTCTGTCTTTGGCTCTTTCTTTGGCTCTCTCCTTCTATCTGTCTCTCTTCTGGCTCATTCTTTCTCTCTCTCTCTCTCTGCCCATCTCTCTCCTTTCTGTCTCTCTCTTCTGCCTATTTCTTCCTGTCACTGTCTCTCTCTTACCTGCTTTCTATCTCTCTTTCTCTCTCCTCCTTTCTGTCTCTCTCATCTAGCTCTTTATCTCTCCCTCCTTTTTGTCTCTCTTCTGGCTCATTCTTTCTCTCTCCATGTCTCTCTCTCTCTCTCCCTCTCTCTCTTACCTATTCTCTCTCTCTCCCTTGTCTCTCTTCTGGTTCTTTCTTTCTCTTTGTCTCTATCTGTCTCCATTTCTCTCTCTCTCTCTTACCTTCTCTCTCTCTCTCTCTCTCTCTCTCTCTCTCTCCCTCTGTCTCTCTCCTCTCTCTGTCTCTTCTTTTCCCCCTCAGTCTCTCTCTCTCTCTCTCTCTCTCCTTCTTTCCGTCTCTCTCTCCTTTCTACCTCTGCCTGTCTCTCTCTCATCCCTCTCTCTATCTGTATCTATCTCTGTCTCTCTCTGTCTCTCCTTCTCCCTCTCCATCTGTCTGTCTCTCTCCTCCTTTCTGTCTCTGTCTTTGGCTCTTTCTTTGTCTCTCTCCTTCTATCTGTCTCTCTTCTGGCTCATTCTTTCTCTCTCCCTGTCTCTATCTGTCTCCACTTCTCTCTCTCTCTCTCTCTGCCCATCTCTCTCCTTTCTGTCTCTCTCTTCTGCCTATTTCTTCCTGTCACTGTCTCTCTCTTACCTGCTTTCTATCTCTCTTTCTCTCTCCTCCTTTCTGTCTCTCTCATCTAGCTCTTTATCTCTCCCTCCTTTTTGTCTCTCTTCTGGCTCATTCTTTCTCTCTCCATGTCTCTCTCTCTCTCTCCCTCTCTCTCTTACCTATTCTCTCTCTCTCCCTCTCTCTCTCTCCTTCTGTCTCTCTTCTGGTTCTTTCTTTCTCTTTGTCTCTATCTGTCTCCATTTCTCTCTCTTTCCTTCTCTCTCTCTCTTACCTACTCTCTCTTACCTTCTCTCTCTCTCTCTTTCTCTCTCTCTCCCTCTGTCTCTCTCCTCTCTCTGTCTCTTCTTTTCCCCCTCAGTCTCTCTCTCTCTCTCTCCTTCTTTCCGTCTCTCTCTCCTTTCTACCTCTGCCTGTCTCTCTCTCATCCCTCTCTCTATCTGTATCTATCTCTGTCTCTCTGTGTCTCTCCTTCTCCCTCTCCTCCTTTCTGTCTCTGTCTTTGGCTCTTTCTTTGTCTCTCTCCTTCTATCTGTCTCTCTTCTGGCTCATTCTTTCTCTCTCTCTCTCTCTGCCCATCTCTCTCCTTTCTGTCTCTCTCTTCTGCCTATTTCTTCCTGTCACTGTCTCTCTCTTACCTGCTTTCTATCTCTCTTTCTCTCTCCTCCTTTCTGTCTGTCTCATCTAGCTCTTTATCTCTCCCTCCTTTTTTGTCTCTCTTCTGGCTCATTCTTTCTCTCTCCATGTCTCTCTCTCTCTCTCTCTCCTCTCTCTCTCTCTTACCTATTTCTCTCTCTCTCCCTCTCTCTCTCTCCTTCTGTCTCTCTTCTGGTTCTTTCTTTCTCTTTGTCTCTATCTGTCTCCATTTCTCTCTCTGCCTCTCTCTCTCTCTCACCTACTCTCTCTCTCTCTCTCTTTCCTTCTCTCTCTCTCTTACCTACTCTCTCTCTCTTACCTTCTCTCTCTCTCTCTTTCTCTCTCTCTCCCTCTGTCTCTCTCCTCTCTCTGTCTCTTCTTTTCCCCCTCAGTCTCTCTCTCTCTGTCTGTCTCTCTCTCTCCTTCTTTCCGTCTCTCTCTCCTTTCTACCTCTGCCTGTCTCTCTCTCATCCCTCTCTCTATCTCTATCTATCTCTGTCTCTCTCTGTCTCTCCTTCTCCCTCTCCATCTGTCTGTCTCTCTCCTCCTTTCTGTCTCTGTCTTTGGCTCTTTCTTTGTCTCTCTCCTTCTATCTGTCTCTCTTCTGGCTCATTCTTTCTCTCTCTCTCTCTCTGCCCATCTCTCTCCTTTCTGTCTCTCTCTTCTGCCTATTTTCTTCCTGTCACTGTCTCTCTCTTACCTGCTTTCTATCTCTCTTTCTCTCTCTCCTCCTTTCTGTCTCTCTCTCATCTAGCTCTTTATCTCTCCCTCCTTTTTCTCTCTTCTGGCTCATTCTTTCTCTCTCCATGTCTCTCTCTCTCTCTCCCTCGCTCTCTTACCTATTCTCTCTCTCTCCCTTGTCTCTCTTCTGGTTCTTTCTTTCTCTTTGTCTCTATCTGTCTCCATTTCTCTCTCTCTCTCTTACCTTCTCTCTCTCTCTCTTTCTCTCTCTCTCCCTCTGTCTCTCTCCTCTCTCTGTCTCTTCTTTTCCCCCTCAGTCTCTCTCTCTCTCTCTCTCTCTCTCCTTCTTTCCGTCTCTCTCTCCTTTCTACCTCTGCCTGTCTCTCTCATCCCTCTCTCTATCTGTATCTATCTCTCTCTGTCTCTCTCTGTCTCTCTCCTTCTCCCTCTCCATCTGTCTGTCTCTCTCCTCCTTTCTGTCTCTTCTTTGGCTCTTTCTTGTCTCTCTCTTTTCTATCTGTCTCTCTTCTGGCTCATTCTTTCTCTCTCCCTGTCTCTATCTGTCTCCACTTCTCTCTCTCTCTCTCTCTGCCCATCTCTCTCCTTTCTGTCTCTCTCTTCTGCCTATTTCTTCCTGTCACTGTCTCTCTCTTACCTGCTTTCTATCTCTCTTTCTCTCTCCTCCTTTCTGTCTCTCTCATCTGGCTCTTACTTTATCTCTCTCTCTCTCCTTCTTTCTGTGTCTCTTTCTCTGCCTCTCTGCTCTGCCTCTGTCTGTTTCTCTTTCTATCTGTATCTCTCTCTCCTTCTCCCTCTCCATCTGTCTGTCTCTCTCATCTAGCTCTTTATCTCTCTCTCCTTTTTGTCTCTCTTCTGGCTCATTCTTTCTCTCTCCCTGTCTCTCTCTCTCTCTGTCTCCACTTCTCTCTCTCTCTGCCTATCACTGTCCATCTCTCTCCTTTCTGTCTCTCTTCTCACTGTTTCTTCCTCTCTCTCTGTCTCTCTCTCTCTCTCTTACCTATTCTCTCTCTCTCCCTCTCTCTCTCTCCTTCTGTCTCTCTTCTGGTTCTTTCTTTCTCTTTGTCTCTATCTGTCTCCATTTCTCTCTCTCTCTCTTACCTTCTCTCTCTCTCTCTTTCTCTCTCTCTCCCTCTGTCTCTCTTCTGGCTCTTTGTCTCTCTCCATTTTATCTCTCTCTTCTGGCTCATTCTTCCTCTTTGTCTCTCTGTCTCCACTTCTCTCTCTCTCTCTCTCTGCCTATCTCTCTCCTTCTTTCTCTCTCTGCCTCTCTCTCTCTCTCACCTACTCTCTCTCTCTCTCTCTTTCCTTCTCTCTCTCCTTACCTACTCTCTCTTACCTTCTCTCTCTCTCTCTCTCTCTCTCTCTCCTCTGTCTCTCTTCTGGCTCTTTGTCTCTCTCCATTTTATCTCTCTTCTGGCTCATTCTTTCTCTCTCTGCCTCTCTCTCTCTCTCTCTCTCTCTCTCTCTCTCTCTCTCTCTCTTCTCTCTCTCTCTCTCTCTCTCTCTCTCCCTCTGTCTCTCTTCTGGCTCTTTGTCTCTCTCCATTTTATCTCTCTTCTAGCTCATTCTCTCTCTCTCTTCATTTTCTCTCTCTCTCTCTCTCTCTCTTTCCTTCTCTCTCTCTTACCCACTCTCTCTCTCTCTCTCTTTCCTCTCTCTCTCTCTCTCTCTCTCTTACCTTCTCTCTCTCTCTCTCTTTCTCTCTCTCTCCCTCTGTCTCTCTTCTGGCTCTTTGTCTCTCTCCATTTTATCTCTCTCTTCTGGCTCATTCTTCCTCTTTGTCTCTCTGTCTCCACTTCTCTCTCTCTCTGCCTATCTCTCTCCTTCTTTCTCTCTCTGACTCTCTCTCTCTCTCTATCTATCCATCTCTCTCTCTGTCCCTGTCTCTAATGAATATCCACTTCTTTCTTTTTTTCTTTTTTGCAGTGCACGGTCCAGAGGCTGCACATGTGGAGGCTGCGAACAGGAGAGGAGAGCAGGAAGCCGACAGGAGCCGACAGGAGCCGACAGGTGCAGGGAAGAGCAGTTTCACCGTGGGCTATGGCGCTTATATTAGCTGCTGTCGTCCCGAAAGCGTCCGCAGACACAGCCCGGCCTCAACACCGCACCAGACCTCGGCTTTATATTGTAGCTCCGAGCGGCTCCCTCCCTCTCTCAGAGCCACTAAAACCGGCTCAAATGGGCGCACCGCAAATCACGTTTAGGACCAATTCACCAGATTTTCACTGGGACCTGCCAGAGCTTTTCCAGTCAAAACCTAAAAAAAAAAAAAAAACTCCTCAAATGACTCGAGCGACCGTTTTCTGTTATATTACGCTTTATGGCCATTTTTCGCCGCTTTCCACATCATCGCCAGAACTTGACAGATGTTTTTTTGGTAAATTTCTAGTAACTATCGAAAACCAAAAAAAAACAAGAATTAGCCTCTTTAAAATCTGTTGCCGAGAGGAAATAAAAGCGACAACGCCACAAAAGTACCCGCGTTACCGTTAGTGTCGCCTCATTTTCACCACAAACGGCTGCGGGTTTTTCGTAAAATTCTCGAAAATACGACGATATGAAATAGTAACACAGCCAATATATTTTTGAAATGTGCTAAATAAACATACAGTCAGTGTTGGGGAGTAACAGATTACATGTACCGGAGTTACGTAATCAGAGTACAAATTATGAGTAACTGTATTCGGTTACAGTTACTGTTTCAATGAGAGGTAATTGGATTACAGTTACTTCATTGAAATAAATGGATTACATGGTGGTATTTTCCTGTTTTCACATTTTGGGCTAAACCAGGACTAAAACCAGAACTAAACCAGGTCTAAACCAGAACTAAACCAGGATTAAAACCAGAACTAAACCAGGTCTAAACCAGGTCTAAACCAGGACTAAACCAGGTCTAAAAGAGGTAAACCAGGTCTAAACCAGGTCTAAACCAGGACTAAACCAGGTCTAAACCAGGCTAAATCAGGTCTAAACCAGGACTAACCAAGTCTAAACCAGGACTAAAACCAGTCTAATCCAGTCTAAAACAGGACTAAAACAGGTCTAAACCAGGACTAAATCAAAACTAAACCAGGACTATACCAAGTCTAAACCAGGACTAAACCAGGTCTAAATCCAGGACTAAACCAGGTCTAATCCAGGACTAAACCAGGTCTAAACCAGGACTAAACCAGGTCTAACCCAAATCTAAACCAGGACTAAACCAGGTCTAAACCAGATCTAAACCAGGTCTAAACCAGATCTAAACCAGGGCTAAACCAGGTCTAAAACAAGATTTAACAGGACTAAATCATGTCGCATAGACCGTGTCTCCTCCTCTTCTATCAATAATATTTTTAATTTGGTTAACTAATGTTTGGACTTTTTATTTTCTTTTATCAGACAAAACTT